AAAAATAATTAATTGAGAATTAATTATTATTTAAATAATGTGATTATTTAAATTTGAATTTGAATTGTAAACATAATTTAAATTTATCCTTTTAAACTTATTTGATAAGTTGTTCAATTTAGAATTCAAATTAATTTAAGTTTGACTTAAATTCGAATTTGAATTTGAATTAAAATTGGACTATAGGATAAAGGATGATTTCTCTTCCTTCCCTATCCAGAATTGGCGCCACACACAAGGGAGAAAAACCCTAGGGTGGCCGGCCACATTAGAGATAAGGTGTAGGAGATTTTTTTGTTCCAAATTCAAATAGGAGATAGAGATTTGATTCCTTTTTAAAGTTTGACTTCTACTCTTTAAATATGAGAATGATAGAAAATTGTGAAAATAATTTTTGAAACATTTTTTCTACCCTAAAAGTGAGAGTGGCCGAATTTCTCAATAGAAGAGAAAAAGGAAAAAAATTTTCCCAAAAAAATTTCACATCGTGCATGCGTTGGTGTTTGTGGAAAAATTTGAGTGTTTATTCAAACCTGTTTTGTCTCACGTGTGCCCACACACATATCTACGTGGAATCAAGGAATTGACGTGAAAAACTTTAGTTTTCTAAACATAAAGATTGGAGCAAGGACTGTTCGTGGTCAAAGAACTTAAGTTATCATCCGAGTCGGCCTCCAGGTATTTTTCCTAATTGAGTTCTTGACATATAAATTAATGTGATTAATTTATTCGTGCATAAATTAATATAATCTATAGAGTATCTCAAAAGTTTTATGAAATTTTTGTTCTACACGATCCGCCTCCCCGCCACGCTTCCACATCCTAATTCGATTTGGTTACCAACATCAAATCCAACAAGTTAGGCTCTCATACCATTTACTAGATTTTAATGATCTCAACACAATCTAAACAAGATCAAAAAATAATAATCTAGCTATAAATATGAAAATACCATAAAACTTGTTTGAGATTTCGGCATACATTAAAGTGGACAAAGGAAGATTACCTCTTCCGGTAGATAGCGAAAGGCGTCATCCACGGTCGTCAGAATCTGTCAATGGGCAGCCGGAATCAATGGAGAACCTGCAAACATGAGGAAGAATGGCAAGAGGTGCTCTTGAGCTCCTCCCTATCTCTCCCTCTCTCCACCGTTCGGCCACACCCCAAAAAACCCCAACAAGCACACCAAAAATAAAAAGGGTGGCTAACTATATAACCAAATAGGCCTAAGGGCTTTAAGCAATATTCATTGGAGAGGGTATCTAGTCCAATGGGCTGACCAAATATTATGAGATAGAGAGAGTTCATATGCCTCACGCGAGTTAATAAAACAAGTGTCCATCCCATTATGGACTGATATTTAACATGCATGCACGTGTTAATTTACATTAACACAATTGTCTATAAAATGCTTTAATTAATTCAAAGTGAATTATTATGATTATGGAAGTCCACATAAAAATATTACAACATCTATTTGTTACTAACTCACAAGGATTGTTATGTCCTGACGTTGAGCAACAACGACTGTGAACTAGAGCCCAGTTCTAGAGAGAGAGAGAGAGAGAGAGAGAGAGAGAGAGAGAGAGAGAGAGAGAGAGAGAGATGGGAAAAATATGTAATTTTTTTTTTAAGAATTTACCATCTTCAATGCAAATCTTAATGCTAATTGTATATTTGGTATAAAAAAATATGACATGTTATGTTATTTTCATTTGTCCTTCAACGCATAATGCTATTTAAAAATACTAAATTTATTTTTTTTCATAATCATTAAAACTTTAAAAATTATAAAAGTAAATTTTATTTTTAAAATAATTTGAAAATATAAAATTTGTAATATGAAAAAATAAACATTTCAACTAATAACAATGAAATATTAAATTTACCGTATGCTATATTTATTAAGAAATTTGTCACAAAATATACCATATATCAGATTTAGTATAATAAATAACATTGTATTAGAGAGTGGATACTAAATTTACATTTAACACATCAATTATAACAATTATATTAAGTTTGTAAGATTAACCCGGTAAAAAATAATAAAGCGAATTGTTTGGTATGATTAAATCTGGGCTCTCATTTTAAATGAAAACAACTTTTCAGAATAACGTGATAGACGACATCATCTTAAAACAAAAGAATCCTTGAGGGTACCATAGTCACAGTCGGTTAAGTTTGAACCAAAAAATCAGAAGGCAAGCAAGCTCTAATGTTATGTTATGTTTGGTATGATGAAAATGAGGAAGAAAAGAAGTAAGTGGAGAGATTATTACGTGAAAAAGGAAAAATTTCACAAATAGTCATTTATATTCAATCTCACTTTAATTTTTTATTTTTAAACGTCTCACAGATTTTCTCTGTGATTTTATTTTATTTCACTCTCAGTCATTTTATTAATTTAGTGTTATATATTTAACGAAATCCGTAAAAATTATGAATTAAAATTAAAAACATATAAAGTTTAGAGATTAAAATAATACAACAAATCAAAAGTTAATGTCTACATATAGACTTAAAATTTTAGTTGTTTCTAATTTTAGACTTTAATTTACACAGATTCAGGGACTAAATTTTAAGAACTGTTTGTAAGATTAACCCGGTAAAAAATAATAAAGCGAATTGTTTGATAAAAAAAGAGAGTAAGAAAAGAAAAATAGAGTGAATAAAAATTGTTATGTGACCACCCATTTTTATCTTTCAACCTTAAGTGAAAAACTTAAATCCAAATAACTTTTCTACTCTTATTTTAAAACCAAATTAATATTAAATAATTAGTAAAATTGTCTACACATTTTCTTTTCTTCTAGACGATATAAGGAAAAATGATGTGTTTGAAGTTGTTTTTTATTTTGTTTTTCACGTTTTTCAAGAAAGAAAAAATAAAAATGAAAGAAAAATGACATTTAACATAATTAAAGATAAAAAAGGGAAATGAAAACATTTTTTTAATTTAGTATAGAATTAGAGAGAAATGAAAAACGACTTTTAATCGTTTTTCATTTATTGTTTATGTCTTCTCATTTCTCAAGTAGAGAAAGAAAGAGAAATATTAATATATTTTTTTAATACTGAAAATAATATATTAATAAAACTATTAATCACATTTTTAAAAATAATTTATATCTAAAATTAAAAATATTTTCATTTATATTTTTATACAAAAAAAATAAAATTATTTTAAAATGAGTTCTAAACCCAGCCCAAACTTTTTTCTTTTTCTTCACATTTTCTCTCTCTTTCTCAGTTGTTTTCTTTCCGTTCTCTTCTTTTCCTCTCACCAAACGGAATATAAAGGTCGCCCTCTTACGACTTCCGAGTTCCAAACCCCACTAGTGTCGTTCAAATGCCACCCAAACCGGTGAAGGAACCACCCGCCGCGGTGGTGGCCCTGAGCGACAGCGACGGAGAGGACGCCGACACCGGCGTTAGCATCGGGAACAGCGAAGCTTCCTCCGACAAAGCAGCCTCGGGGACCGGAGGACCTCTCATGGGGCAACCGGAACTGCAGAGCTCCGCTGCAACAACCCCCGTCTCCGACCACCAACAGCACCAATCCTTCGAGTCTCGAAGCTTCTGGAAGGCCGGCGATTACGCCGTCGATCCCTCCGCCAGGCCCACTCTTCTTCCCCACGGTCTCCACCATCCCTTTCCCGCTAATTTTCAACCTCTTGATTTTGATTTTTTATTTTCTCATTTATCGTTTTGGTGGGTCTGATTCTGCTTTTCTGATTTTTTTTTTCGTCAGAGCAATTGGAACATGCGCGTGTTCATCCAAAGTTTCTTCATTCCAATGCGACTTCGCATAAGTGGGCTTTTGGAGGTTATTTAGCGAAGTTTTCAGTTAATTAATATGCATTTTCTTGCTTCTTTTTCTATTAATTGTTTTAATTATTATTATTATTTTGTAATTTGCAGCCATAGCTGAACTCTTGGATAATGCAATTGACGAGGTATGTGCTTCACTGCATGGGTGAAAAATTAGTTTAGAAGTTCAATTTGTGAAAGAATTGGCTTAATGTATTTTTATTTCTTCACCATAAGGGGAAGTAGTGATTTTTACTCTTAAATTTTTGCTATTTCTGTGTTGGTTTGTTTAGCCTTTCAACTTTATTCTATTAATGGGCATGGTTTCGGGGTTGTATATACTTGTCTATGAAAGTTTATTTTCTCAATCTCTTGTTAATGGGTCCATATTAGCATTCTTTTGGAGTAATTGAGGAATATTTCTTTCCGTTTATGTTGTCCTCCCTCTGATACTGAGAGACCTTATACTATAAAAGGTGGATTCTTGCGTAGTGATTTCTGATTTGAAGGGATTCCAACGCCTATTGCCTTATTATACTTGAGATATATGTATCAAGTTCGTTCAGACACAGCCTTTAGGGTTGTTGAACATAATTAAGAAAGGACTGTCATAAGAGAAAATAAAAGATAATGCACTAAGCAATTATTCAACTTAATGAAATTGTATCATCCACAAAACTCATGCACTGAAACTATTGTTTTTGCTCTTTTTTTCTTTTGTCTTTCTTTTAGATACACAATGGTGCAACTTTTGTGAAGGTTGATAAAATTGACGTTATGAAGGATAGTTCTCCAGCTTTACTCTTCCAAGGTATAGTTCAGTGTGTAATTTTCCCTATGGTGAATTTTCTTCCTGTTGTAATTTCTTGGAAAGAAAGATTGAAAGTTCTATGTGTTTCTTGCAGATGATGGTGGTGGAATGGATCCACAAGGAATTCGGAAATGCATGAGCTTAGGCTACTCTACAAAGAAGACAAACACGACTATTGGGCAATGTAATTGCTATAATTTTCTTATCTAAATAGCTTGTGCTATAGTGTGATAGCATGTTTGTTTTCTGGTAACACTGTCCTTTCAAGATGCTCCAATATGAAGGTGTAAATTCTTGTACTGATCTTTAACATTCAATGTTTTGTATATCTTGTCATTTCCAGATGGTAATGGATTTAAGACAAGTACCATGCGGCTCGGTGCTGATGTTATTGTTTTCACTCGTGCGAATTGTAAAGGGTATGCTTTCTTTTTTATTTACTATCTTGTTTTGTTTTTCTTCTTGTTGAATTGAGCATTAGAATTCAATGTCTAGTGACGTAATTTCCTGTATTTGTCTTTTAGCCAAGCTACTCAGAGTGTTGGTCTCTTGTCTTACACTTACTTGCGGAAAACTGGGTTGGACGATGTTATTGTTCCAATGGTACATTTTACATCAGTTTTTGGGGTTGTAAAATTTTCCTTTGGGACCTTGCAAGTGTCTATATTTTCGGAATTCATACTTAGATTGCTTTTTCATGCAGATTGATTTTGACATTTCTTCCCACTGGGCAGAGCCTATAATTTATGGTTCACATGATGATTGGTCTTCTGATTTGAAGACAATCCTTGAGTGGTCTCCCTTTACGTCAAAAGAGGAGCTCATGCTACAGGTTGATTTGGTTATATTATTTATGCAGGAGTTTAGGTTAATATGTATGCTTTGGTAACAATTTCCAGAACTACACGTTCTTATCAATTTCTGCTATTACGTTATATTGAAGATGCTAAAAAGTATAAGTAGATGGTTATTACAATTTACCAATAGATGACATTCTTGAATAGTTTGTTGTGTTTGTCAGTTTGATGATATTGGAGCCCATGGAACAAAAGTAATAATATACAATCTATGGCTGAATGATGAAGGAATATATGAGTTGAGTTTTGATGATGATGATGAGGTGAGATGCATTTACTCGGTGGTATTTGAATCTTTATGGTGTTTCCTGATTTAAAGTGTGCAAACCTTGCAAACTAATTTTATTTGTTCAGTATATTCCTTAAATAAATTCGAGGATACCTTATTCTCCCCTTTTGTAAGTGATTGATTTCAATAAAAGTTGTTTTCTCATAAAAAAAAAAAGTATATTCCTTAAACAACTCCTACATAAAAACTAAACCATTGTAATAGATTTCCATCGCAAGGTGGAAGGCTTCAAATAGATCAACACATTTAGTTATAGCTTTTAAGTAACTTGCTTTGCTCCCTCGAATTATAAATCGATTTGCATATTAGAATTGATAAGAGGTTTGATTTTGATAGCATCTGTGGCTCTTTGTGATCCTCAATTAGGATATACGGTTGAGAGACGAAGCTAATTGTGCAAGTTCTTCAACTAAATTTAGCAGGAAACAAGTTGAATTACAGTCCCATATCTCTTACCGCATCCGATATTCGTTAAGGGTAACTTTGCCATATTCTTCTTCTTTTTCTTTAATCATTAAATCCGCATTGTTCAGCATCATTTGTTTGACAAAGAATTGAGCTTACATTTCTTTTTTTGTTGCTTAGGCATATGCCTCGATGTTGTACCTCAAAAAGTTTAAAAACTTCAGTATAATACTAAGGGGAAAACCTGTGGAACAATATAATATAGCAGATGAGTTGCAACATGCTGTGATTGTAAAATACAAGCCCCAGCTAGCTACAACCTCTAAAGAGGTAATATCGTGGTTCAAAGGAATTTCAGTAGATTCCTTATCTCTCTCTCTCTCTCTGCACTGCAATAAATTTAGTTCTCTCTCTGTCTCTCCACTGCAATAAATTCAGTTGATGTTTCCTGTGCTGAAAAGATAAGAAGTTTAGTACGATTTGAGATGCATATACTCATCTTATTATTTTTTCTTTTTTTGAATTTCTTTTCCCGATCTATTGTAGATTTACACTTAAACTCGATGACATTAGAAGTTTAATTTTATTGCAGAAATTTAGTTAAGTTTATTTGAGTTTAACTTTTAAGATCTAGTAATCTCAAGCATCTAAAGAACAAAAAGGAAGCCAAATGATTTTAGAAGCTTTGTGATATTTTGACTTACTCACAATATCCTGAATTAGATTACTGTGGAAACAAAACTTGGGTTTATAAAAGAAGCACCTGCTATTCTTGGAGTTAATGGATTCAATGTCTACCTTAAGAATCGCCTCATCAAGGTATGTTTAGCAATTTTCATGCTATTTGATATTTGAATTCTGTGTAGTACTGCTTTTATCGTAAATTTATTATCTTTAATCATGAATGGTTACTAAAATGGTTAAGTGATAGGAATTTAGTCCAATCAAAATGTGAAAAACGTAACAAGTAATGATAACAATATGCAATAGAGAAGAACAACAAAATGGCAAATACATTGAGCATTCAAATGGATGTTTTATTATATGATCTGTGTTGGTTATTTGAAGATGATTCTTTGTTCTTTGTAACTGGAACCAATTATGCAAGATGCCTTTTTACTCCGCGAGTCTGTTAATGCTTGCAGCCATTCTGGAAAGTCATTGCTGACGGTTCTTCCAAAGGGAGTGGTGTTGTTGGTATTGTTACTACCTTTTCTTTTCCTTATTTTTTTTAAAAAAATTTGTTTTAGTCATTCCTTATGCTCAAGCATTCAATTATTTTTATTATTTGTCATATTCTAGGAGTTCTTGAAGCAAACTTTTTAGAGCCGGCACATGACAAGCAAGATTTTGAGAGATCACCATTGTCTATCCGGCTCGAAACTAAGCTGAAACAAATGGTAACTGAATATTGGTAAGTTGCTTCTGTACAACTCTTCCAAGTTCTTGAAGATGCTAATGTAATTACTCGAGGAATTGCTTTTAGTTCCACCATACGGCAACCACTCACTGGTCCTACCTTAGATAGTTGTTATTTTTTCAGTTTCTGTGTCTAATAACTAAGTAATTTTGTATGAAAATAAGGCTAAATTTAGTTTTATGCCCTTTTTTCTCAATACTTGTGGACGATAAAATGATAAATTAGTAACTGTTCTAGTTCATGGAATTTGTCTCGGATGGTACAGGAATAAACACTGTCACTTCATGGGATATCAGACTCCTGGCACTAAGAAGCAAAAGAATGATCCTGTGCAGTCTCCTGTTCAAATTGCAGCTAATACTAGGAAGCAGTTGTCAGCCAATCAACATAACGCTGGTGTTTCAGGTGCTGTCCCAGGACACACGCATCTGAATCAAAGTAATAGCGAACCATGCAGAAGTGGCAAAAGACCTGACTTTCATAGAGATTTTTCTGCTGTAAGTGATGCAAATTTCCTTTGATATTGCTTCTTGGCATCTCTTATTTATTTTTTATTTGAATTTTTCGATCATGCAATTCTAATATATAGACTTTGGGCAAATGTTCAGTAGAAATTTGTTTTTCTTTTTCCTCTCCGTGATGCGAATTGGCTTGCCTTTGCAGGGATCCTATGAAGCAGTTAGCTTAGTGGTTCCCATAGATGATGAAGAACCCTTATCCGTTGATCAGATTTGCAAAGAAAACATACAACTTCACGTGAGGTATATATTTCATTTTTCTGATTTTGCATTTCAATCAAGCACTTTTGTCTTATGTTGCAAATCGTATCTTACACCAATCAAGCTTCGTGATTTTCGGTTGCATGTTAGACATGACTTTGGTTATCATTTCTTTTCACTTTCCTCTCTTTCGCCTTTAAAAAAAAAAATGTATTTTCAAAATACCAATAAATTTGTGTATTCTCATAGCTCATTACTTCCCTTTTCTCCGTCAAATTTCTTTTTCTATTCTGTAGAAGCACGATATCCACTTGTTATATTATCTGGCTCTTATGTTCTTATTGTTGAATTAACCCCCAAAACTTTTTTTCGTCAGGTGCGATGCATATGTAATAAAACAGAGTGAGTTAAAACAAACGGTAGGTATAAATAAATTCGTATTTAAAGTAACATTTTCGTTTCCTGAGTTAAAGAAAATTTGGCAACTGAAATATCCGTTTTTCAAAAGCCATTTTGCACCTATACTCACAAAATTTGAATTGAATAGATTGTCGGTTTAGAGAGACGGTTGGAGGAATCAAAAAAGAAGTACGCTCAAGTTGCTACCTACTTGGAGAATACAAAAAAGCAGAATAGTTCCAACGTTTGATGAGGCACAACTACATACATCCTGAACCGTTTCATTGATGTTCTTTTCCAAATTGCGCTTTGAGTGCGTTTTCTGCTACTTTTGTACTGATGTCAAGAAAAGTATTTGCATTAATTAACCACATTTTGGTTTGTACAGGATTCTCTATGAAAGTTTACTGTAGGGTTGCTTATCAAGATGTTTGTCTTCATCATGAGCTTTTGGACCTCGGTTATTCTCTGTAAAATTGCATCTTGGATATCCGTGGGACCATCTTACAATGTAGTACCAAACAAATTAGTTGTTTTTTAATTGTATTTTTCGTAGATCGCATAGTGACAACTAACAGCACAATAGGAAATGTAACATACATCTCTCTCTCTCTCTCTCTCTCTCTCTCTCTCTCCATCTTCAGTTCTTGTTTTGTAATTTTTGCCTCAATTTTTTTACTTATTTAACTATCTTTTGTTTGAACAAGTTAATGAAGGACATTTTGCTAGAACGAAAAGTTGTTTACGTCATAAAGGTGACAGCATGAAAAAGAAGGAAATGTGCTTTTGTTTTACAAACAAAGCTAAAATGTCCTTTTCTTCTTAGACGACAACTAATTATCAAGTAAACTCTCGTAGTCGTATCGCTATATCTCATAATAGAATTGGGGCTTTTTCTTACATTCTATATGAAGTCCAGCACTTACATTGGAAGTTTAGTTATGTCCGTATAAAACATGTCCGTGTTGAATGTAGACATGTCGTTCAGTTGCATGGTGTTAGAGATGTGCTTATGAAACATGTCCCACGTTATATGTTTGTACCGATTTGTCGTTTACGTAAAGAAGGTAACGACACAAACTAAAACGAAACATCATTCTCTTAAAGATTATGGAACGAGACATTATCTTCTGTTTGGGAGAAGCAATACTTACAGAATTAGCAGGTGGAGTGTCAGCTTCAACATGTAGGTGTAACGCCTCTCTCAAATTAGCAGCTAAAAACAACGTCCGCTTAAGAGAAACGTTAATTGAAATAAATATTACTGCTTGATAGAGAAATAATTGAAACCTCTTTCATATGACCTGTCATGAAATCTCTTATTCCTCCAGAATTTGACCCTTCATCATATTTCAATCAGTTTACAATAGACACAAGATTCACATCATACTTAAAAATACTTTCAAATCTCATGAAAACATGTCAACAATAATATATATAAATTAAACTTTCATTAAAAATAAACTACTGTTTAAGTGATACAGTGGAAAGTCTACCTATGAATAACTGATTACGAATAATTGATTACGAATAACTGATTACGAATAACTGATAGAGAGTAGAAATCTTCACTTTCTTTTTATTTTATTTTCCCTCTTATTTCCTCTCTCTTTTCCCTCTCATTATTTTCTTTGCTGTAGGATATACTATTAAATGCCCACATAATATCTCTCTTCTACATAAGCTTGAGAAGGTTTCGTTGTTTCAGTTTCTTATTGCCAAGAAGGCATGTGACTCATCAAGGCTAACCTAACTAGGTGTCCTTGTGGCCTTCTTCCTAATTTCTATTAGTTTACACCGTATTACTACTTTCTTCTTATAGTGCTGACGCACCAAAGCTAAAAACCGATTCATCATACCTATTAAGCATGTCTTGGCACTATATGTTTACATCCAAAGATTGAGTGGCCACCTCGTGCTTAATTCTTTTAATATCTAGACCGAGTTTTCCATCCGTAATACGTTTCAAATAGGACATCTAAATGGTATAAAATTTCCTCATCCTAAAATCTCCGAATATCATAATTAAACACTTTAATTAATTAATTAATTCTATTAATTTAAATAATTACTCCACTATAAATTTGGAATTATACTCGTAATTATAGACATAAAGTACTTCTAAATTGTGAAGTGTCTATTTGATATAGTCATTACATATAGATCAATTCTCCATAAATAATTCATAATTAGAGTTAAGTGAAATCTGTTAACCTCTCTAATTACATCTTTATCCTTGAGTACCATTGATTCTCTAATGGACAATGATTCATAAAACAAATTCATGAATCAAAGCTCTTACTGGTCTAAGTACCGAATCAACCATCAAGAGAATTATTTATCTATTTCTTTCTCAAGAAAGAATGGATTCCATCTGGTATAATTACATTCCCGGCTACCTATTTTATTATGTCTCCAAAATACAAGAAATATGATTCAAGATCTCAGAATCCGTATCGAGTAAATCAAAAGACACAAATCCATAAATAGGAGTCTGTTAAGAACTCAGGATTAAGATCGTTCCTTATATGACCATTAATAGACTGAATTAGAATTTCTATACTTAATGGAAATTATCAGAAATTCATATTGTGTCTGTGTCCATGTCCCACATAATCTCATTATGCGAAATACACTAATTCAATATCCCGCGATATTAACAGTGCGAATAATATTGTTTCATTCTAAATGGGAATGATATGTATTAATAATGTTTTAATTAAAAATGTTAAACTTTATTTAAATTCATTACGAACATCGTTTTGATTATTATCCTTAAACATTATCATCTCATATATAATACTTATATACAATGTTTAATATCACATAAATAATAATAGAATTTTCATTGATATTCATAAAATATTCGTACATATATATGCACATAAAATAGAATTTTCAGAAGTTTTACCTTTTATTTTTGATTTATAACATTTTTAGTTAAATAATTAAACTAATAAAAGAGTATTTATCAAGAATAAGGGGTAAAAGTTCAGACTTATGCACTCTCAAGGATGTATAGTTAAAGTTTTAATTTAAAGAGGGAATAAAATTCAAATTTGTGTTTGGTGGGTGTGAAAATGAGAGAACTAAAACAAGACGGTAGGGCTGACAATTTGGGTTACGACACGATAACACGACTCGAAATTCGCACTAAATTAAAGGGTTTGGGGGTTTTTTTTTTTAAATAGGTCTAGGTAAAAAAAAGGTTGAACCCGCCAGACACAATTAAATAAAGGGTCAACACGATACAAATTTTCCAACATGAAATTAACCTGAAATAACCCGTTTAATAAATGTATCATAAATAGGTTGACACGAATATGACACATTTTAACTTATTTAATACACGTTTTATTTAGACATGTATAAATATATTTTTTTTTAGAAAAAAATAGGTGATATATAATGAAGATTCTAAGGTCTCCTCACATTTTTATGGAAATTTTAGTATTTTGCTATATTGTTGATTTTTTTAATTTTTTAATATTTTTTTATCATTAAGAATTAAATTTCAGTATACAAATAGTAAACATGTTTACAGATGACACAATACATTATTGGCCTATTTAATAAATGACTTGATGATTTCGAGCGTGTTCACTTCACCGATTATAATTTGTAATTTGAGTTAAGTGTATAGATTGAAGTTAGAATTAAATTGGAATTAAAACTGAAATCAAAGTTAGTGTTTAGGAGTGCACATGGTGATTCAAACCTTCCTCTCAATTCAAGTTATGAGGTGTTCACTTCACTAATTTCACAATTCCAACCACCACCTCCAAATCAAGTAGGGAAATGAAAAAAAAGGGGGAAAAAAAAAAAAAAAAAAAAAAAAAAAAACCTCATGAAATACACAGAAATTAAAAAAAAATGCATACTACCAATTCCTAATAATGTCCGTATAATATTATGCACAAAAATCTAAAAATTTTGATCCTTGAATTGGTTAATACAATCCAACATAACATGTTACAAAATAAAATATTTCATATATGAATAACTGATATGTGTTTAGCTAGCGATTGTTATTTCCACCATGAGCCTGCCACATAGTTTTTGCTATTTCATCCCTCAAAAGACCCATCTCCCTTCGACTCGCGGTGTTTCTTGGTCCTTCCGTACTCTAATCTGGGTTATGGTTTTGATTGACATCCTCATCTGCGTTCAAGGGGTCAATTTCACTTACAGGTACCCCATCTTGTAAGTATTGGTTGATGAAGCTGTCATCATGTTGATACATGCGTATGAAGTTATGTATCATAGCACAAGCAATAGGTATTCTCGCTGGTTTCTGCATCGGGTAATTGTTGATTATCTTTAGAATGCGGAACCTTGCTTTCCACACCCCGAACGTTCGCTCGATACAATTCCTAAGCGATGGATGGGTGTAGTTAAATAACTCCCGCTCACTTCGAGGTCAACCTCGACGTGCCCTATACTCTTGTAAGTGGTATGTACTACCACGATAAGGAGCTAGGAAACAACCTATTTTTGCGTAACCAAAGTCTACTAAATAAAATTTTCCTACATGGTGGGAGCAAAGAATGTTTTAGCAGACTTGTAACGACTTTTCAAACCCAAACAGATTGAACACATGTCAATTACCTATTTTAAGATTTGTGTGTACCTGCTGGAGGGACAGGGAAATTCTTTTCTGGCATTTCAAGCGCTGATTCAAGAACTCGGGCGTCGTGCGTGCGCGGAGCCTTCCCACCCGGTAAGCATATACGTGAACTTCATGTCGAAAGAACACACTCCCAAAATATTTTGTGAGTTGAATCCCTTCCTATTTCTCCAGACCTCTGCATTTTTTGGCGCGGTACACAGGGAACGTGTGTCCCGTCGAGCGCGCCAACACAATTCTGAGACGAATATAATGAATGTTATTATGAATCTTAAAATATTGCATTAGAATAATGTTAAATACAAACAAGAAAAAAAAGGAGAGATCTACCTTACATCAAACCAAGGTCTATACTTGTTCACACTTGCCTCAATAAGTGGATCGATGCGGTTAAAGTCAGGTGGCTTAATAAAGTCATGCCGCAGACGATATATGGCATTCAACACTACCATGAACTACTTTGAAATTGTAGCCCCCGAGTGTTGACATTGATGTTGTGTCTCTCTGTTACTTTCGCTTTGGCAAACAATTGTCAGAAAAATGATCAATTGCCCATCAACGCTCATATTTCTAGTACTCCTCAGTAAATTCTTCTGTTCGAGTAACCAACTTAGTCACCTAAAGCAATCGCTCCCCATCTTAATCTTATTGTATATTACCATCTCGTGCCCATTTAACAAGTCACTTATACGCTGCGTACCTGTGTAATGGCTATTATTTCTAGGAGTCGGCAGCGGATGTTCCAAGTACGCCGTGCAGAATGTTGGCCCAAGGTTGAATATTCTCATGTTTTGATGATCACAAACACAATGTATTATGTTTCTAATGATTCTATTTTGAGTCGTGTATTTAGCGTAATTAATGTTATAAATCAACTCAAGAAGCATTTTGCGGAATACAATGCAAATACATTCAAGATTGACAAATGCAAATTGAAGAAGGAATTCAAGGCTTGGAGTGCTAAAATACCAAAGATCCAGAGCAAGCAAACAAAATCAAGCTGGACAAGTACTAATAGGTTTTTAATATCTCCTTAGTCTTGTATTTGATTTTGACTTCATACTATCATGATTAATTCTTGTTTTG